TCTAATGCGTTTACCACTCCTGGACGGCTTAATGCCAAACAGGCCTTGCGACCCAATTGATAAGGAAGCCGGTAGATCGAATTAGAATTTAGAAGTTGATTTTTGAGAAGGGACCAGAGAACCCGGAGAAAAACCCTCACAGCACAGAAGAGAACCAACAAACAACTCTACTCACATATGACACCGAGACTGGCAGAGCTCGAACCCGGCTCGCATTGGTGAGAGGCGGCGCATTAGCAGTGCACGCCACCCGTGCTTCCCTGAATGCAATAATTAATTAAATAATGAACAAATAAATGAATGGATGCGTTAATCCGTAGCTTGTTTTCACAGAAGTTAACAGTTTCTAACAAAGACGTATTGCGCCATTTAGTCTGAACTCATTTGTTAACCAAGCTAAAAGTCCCGTTGGACTTCTTGTTCATAAAATGAGTTATGTAAACACCAATTGAAAATCAAAAGGTACCGTCTCACATCTAAAAAAAGCGTCTCGACGATGAGAGTCTTGAGACTCGCCTTCATTTCACTCAAGACTTGCGGCGTTCAAGGGTCTGCTTTTATTTCAGTTTAGCAATAAAAAGTTTAATCGATTAAAAACAGATTTCTGAAAGAAATTTAGGTTACAGGGCCATCTCATAATCTAACTATTGGTTAAAGTTTGGTTGTTTCTCATTCTCCGGCATACAGTGACCTGAATAACAGTATATCGAATCAAGCCATTTACTTAAACATTTATAGTTTTACGCGTTTATTTTTATTACTCTGTTTATCTACTTCTGCTACCTGCTGGTGCTATAGAATCCTAGTTATAAGCTCTAGCCTTCTTTTAGTATGCAAATTCTTAAGAGTTTTTTGGTGGGCCAGTCATACTATGACCTAGAATAAACCAGCATCTGAAACACCTTTATTTTCTTATGTCTTCACACGTACGACTTAGGAGAATCAGGCGCTGACCCTTCTCTTTCCCTATTAAAAATTTCAAAAATAGATGTAAGAGTTAAATCCAATATTTCTTTGTAAGTAGGTATGATATCAATGGATCAATGCTTCGTCTATTTATGTATTATTTAATATCCAAGCTTTCAGCTCATTGAGCCATCATCAGGGAATGGTAAACAACGAACGACGACTTTATACAAATATATAGTTGATATAGAGCTTACGAAATCGTTCCTCTCTTCCTTCTCCCACCAAAACCCATGGTATAACCTGTGTGAAAGGGTAGTCACAGGCACTCTAGTATACCCTCTCCATTTCTACAGGATACAAGATAGATAAGGCTAAGGAGATAAGAGTCATCACTTACCGTGGTGATTTCGTCACTCCATTGGCAGAAAAAGTAAATTGTCTTAAGGCTGGAGTCAGTGTTATGGTTGGGGTTTTAGGCTGTTTACTCCTCTCTGCGTACCAGTCTCGTTCACGGCGCATGCGCTCGATTTCGTCATCTCTTTTCTGTTTGAACAAGACATGGTTATAAAGATATGCTATCAATTCGACAAGTTTACTGGGAAAAGGAACAGTGTATTACAATAGACCCTTTCTGAAAATGGCGGCTGCAAATTCAAAAGAGTTAAGATGGTGTATTCCTCCCGACATATATCTCAATTTTCTACTTGAGTTTTCTGGGCCCCTATAACACCTGATATAATGAATCTTCGTAGAGTTACTAAAGTAAAGTTGCTATTTTCTAGTGCTAGTAGTAGTTTTATAATTTTAAATAAATTGAATTTGCGTTCGCCATTTTGGAAAAAAAGTCTATTGATATAGATGACCTTCAATCATTCACAGGCGATTAAAAGACAAGAAAACCCTGTTTATTAGGGTGCAAACAACATCATAATGTTATCGATAGTATGACAATTGGCATTTTTAAAGTAAACACCGTAAACACAGTGTTTTTGCCCGGCGGTCGCCCTCGTATTGCACATGCGTCTTAGCTAATAACTTTAATAAACAACTACCTTATAGAGATTGGCAAACTTCATCAGCTCTCGCTTAGCGACTCTTCTCTGAAAAAAGTCAAATTCAAGATCTTTAACAATTGACAATTTCGTTGTCAGTAGCAAGCGCACGAGGGTCACTCATGCTGTCAGTAAAGGAAGGTACGTATTTACTGAGGGGGGTCAGTAGCAAGCGCACGAGGGTCACTCATGCTGTCAGTAAAGGAAGGTACGTATTTACTGAGGGGGGGATCAGTAGCAAGCGCACCAGGGTCACTCATGCTGTCAGTAAAGGAAGGTACGTATTTACTGAGGGGGGAGGGCTGGGGCTTCAGAGGGAAGGGTCATCAGTAATAATTTGAACTTTTTGAAGGGCCAAACCATTTTATTTTTACTAAAGATGTTTCCTTGCAGGGTCGTAGCCACTATGAGGCAGTGTGGCCCCCTCCATTATTGGAGCATAATAACAATAACGTCTTTGTTTAGAGAGGGTGACAGTAGTAGCCAACTGAGCACTGATAAATTTGTAGTCCTCTATGTTTAACGTCTCTAATTGAGACGGGACCGCCATTTTACGTGGTCATCCGATCCACGGAGAAGGTCTAAGCATTTGCAGACTTTGAGTGTGAGTCCGTACCTATTWGAGAGTTTTAGATTGACTTTTTTTTCTCCCCGCAAACGGCAAACGTGACCACGTTTTCATAGTTTTCCTGTATTTTACTCTACCTTTTACAAACCTTCTCACCAAAGACAAATATTCTTTTGTTTTTCTACTACTTGGACTTTTTTACGATTCTCTTTAAGCTATTTAAGATAATTTTTAAATGGTCAACTGACGTTTCACGTTTGCCGTGAACGTAAATCTAAAACTCTCTATTCTAATGGAAAAATCTTTACGCCAACCTGGAAAAATATTTTTTATCACTGTTTTCACTGCTACGCGCTGGTCGAGACAACAGTCGCGCAGGTTTTGCCCGATTTCCTTGTCGCGACTGTTGTCTTGATCAGCGCGTGGCAGTGGAAACAGTGGTAAAACACTTTCTTTTGGCCTTTACTTTCCCTCGAGAAAAAAATATGTTTCTAAGAATCAATCCAGTGTCTTACCTTAAAGGCGGCGACGATGACCATGACAACTTGGATGAGCACGAATACCCCAAGCCCTCCCGCCATACATGCAAAGTTGTATGAAGCACGTGACGTGGGTGTGATCGCTGATGACATGGTGTTGAGCAGAGCAATAAAACATACGAATAGCAAGTGAATTAGAACGTATTTGTCCTGAAAAATACAGAAATATGAATATGTTGGCATCAGTGATGTTACTATTTCGATGGGTGTAGTGGAGACACATTAAAGTTGGTTGAGCATCGAACTTTCGCGGTGCGGGAGGTCGTGGTTCGATTCCCGGTCGGACCAACACTCAGAATCTTAAAATAACTGAAGGGAACGTTCAGCCTTTGCAATTACATCTACAAATTAGAGTTATACTTTCAAGCGGCTCGGATGAGCACATTTAATGGCGGTCCCGTCCGCCTCCACACTTTGTCATTTTTAACCAATATTCAAGAGACGTAAAAGAACCACTGAGGACGTAAAAAAACCCTGGCAGTGACCACCCTCAGTGCCTACACCGCATACTAACCACCCCTCATGATTGTAAGCGCCTTTGATTATATACATATTATTAAATTATTAATAAAAAACCTAATGACTCACGGGGGCGTAGCGAGGTCCCAGGAATTGGGAGAGGGGGAGGGGGGGGGTTGACAAATGTTACGTGAATGTCATTTTGCGCTTGTGTGACTGATTGTGTTTGTTTTCAAGTTCCAACCTGCCCAAGAGCGATTCTTACTTGGCCAGTGAAAGAAAGTTGGGTAAGTTTGTGACTAGCTAACCGTCAAAGTAAAACAAAAGAAAACAATGGAGTAAGTGTATGCTATGGATATTAACTATATCTATTAACACGGGCCAAGTAAAATCCCTCTATTATATTGAGTGATATCATTTACAGAAATTTTGAACAAAAGGATTTATTCAACACGAAATAACAATGCTCAAAAGGCATTCCTTTTATTTCAGGTTTTAAATTTCGGGAGCGCGCTTCCCAAGATACATTCCTCATTGTTGAATAGTCCAATGAGAAAAAAAGCTACTGGTAAGTAATATTTAAATTCGTTACATTCCTCAATTTACTCAACTGTATCTTGAGAATGATTTATTGTGTTGTCC